TTCAATAAAAAGAAAGCAACCAGGCAGTTGTAAATTTTAAATAATGGGCTATCGGTAATTATAAGTAAAATGTACACCACTGCCTTTTGCCCTTTCTTAGTTACCTTTAAGAACATTTGCCCTTTCTTAGTTAATTTTAAGAACATGCATGTTAAAAAGTAACTAAAATTTCGAAACAAATAATGTTTACTAGAATAAAGTTGGATTTTTGAAAATGGTCAGTTTTTTTGCTGTTGAAGTTTTAAATTGAAAATATTTTTTTTTCTAAAATTATTTGCATAATTAATAAGCACAGTTTGAAAATTGAACAAAAAGTAATGTAGGTTTTTACTTATTGTCAGAAATATGACAGTTGTTATTCATTCGTTTGATGTGTTTTGAGCTTTTGATTTTCCATTTGATTATGGACTTTCCGTTTTGAATTTTCCTCTGAGTTTGATATTAAACAGAACTTGTTCAATGCTTAAATATAGGTAAACAGTAACGGAAAGATGTAGGGTCGGCTGTTCTTATGACTTTACATATAAAGTAAAATTGAGAATAGAAATGGGGAATGTGTCAAAGAGACAACCCGACCAAAGGACAGAAATATATATTTTGTTTTGTTTTAATTTATTAAAAATAAAAATAAAAAATGTTTAAATATAGTATCGATAAAACAATATTTAAAGATTTCACTACAGTGTTGAATTGATAACCTGTAAAAATCAATTTATTCAAAGACTCAATGAGTATACATTGATCCGGCATCTAAATTTACGGGCTTTATGATATAACAATATCGTCGTGTAATACCAAGATCAGTTCTTATACACTGAGCGAACAAAAGTCACATACATAAAGTGCATTAGTGGAAATTAGGACACACTGTATAGGAATGAATTAAAACTTATTTTCCCAGACAATATAAAAGCTGCTTAGGTATTCCAATTGTTTTAATAAAGACAACTATCTAGATAAAGAAAGTATAGACATGTTACATGTCTTTAAGAAAATATAAAAGAACAATACACGATCAATAAATGAAATTTATAAATGCACAATATTATCCTCTACCTTCGGCATTTAGGTCTGGTCTGGTGTTGGTTGCCAAACGGCAATTATATAGATCTTACGACAACAAATGAAGTGTTGCAACTCTGATGGATCTATCTAAAGCATGTGATTGTTTTGATGGAAACATCCTTTAACCTATTACAAATATTGGATTAAAAAAAGTCCAAAACAGGACATGACGGTGCAGTGCATATATATATATAGTGGTTTAACGCTTGTGATGTATGGCTCTATTTTAACTGCTACTTTGTATACTAGTATATATATATGTTTAAGAACATCCGTTGTTCGACCTGCTAGTCAAAAGCGTTTTGTTAAAATATACTTTTTCACCTTTTTGGTATTTTGGAAAATGTTGTTTGTGCTGTATTTAGACCACTCTACCAAGAAATTTGTTTTGCATGCACACGTATAAAAATTGCGGTTTTTATCCAACGCAATCATAAGTTTGAACATAGGTTTGAACCTATGATTGCGTTGGATAAAAACCGCAATTTTTATACGTGTGCATGCAAAACAAATTTCTTGGTAGAGGGGTCTAAATACAGCACAAACAACATTTTCTAAAAGACAAAATGAGTGAAAAAGTATATTTTAACAAAACGCATTTGACTAGCAGGTCGAAGAACTGATGTTCTTAAACCCTGTTGACTGCCATTGGCGATTGCCAAATAAACGGATCACAAGATGTAACAAAATAGATCTTATTATTAATTTATTACCGAACAGAAAACAATAAACTTGCGGAAAAGATGGTATACCGCAAACATGAGGTGCAAAAATTTGTACACCATATCCGGATTTCGACAATAAATGTCTCTTCAGTGATGTTAGGAATCGAAACAGTATTTGGAAGGCCATATAATTTATCTCAATTTAGGATAGACTCTTGAACTTTGAAAGAGTCAAAATAGGATGAACGGATCATATAAACCCGAAGGAAAATATAATACAAACCCAAACGAAAATATATAAACAAGTCTAAATTGACAACAACGTTCAAACCTATGATTGCGTTTGATAAAAACCGCAATTTTTATACGTGTACATGCAAAACAAATTTCTTGTAGAGGGGTCTAAATACAGCACAAACAACATTTTCTAAAAGACAAAATTAGTGAAAAAGTATATTTTAACAAAACGCATTTGACTAACAGGTCGAACAACTGATGTTCTTAAACCCTGCTGACTGCCATTGGCGATTGCCAAATAAACAGATCACAAGATGTAACAAAATAGATCTTATTATTAGTTTATTACCAAACAGAAAACAATAAACTTTCGGAAAGGATGGTATACCGCAAACATGAAGTGCAAAAATGTGTACACCATATCCGGATTTCGACAATAAATGTCTCTTCAGTGATATTAGGAATCGAAATGGTATTTGGAAGGCCATATACTTTACCTCAATTTAGGATAGACTCTTGAACTTTGAAAGAGTCAAAATAGGATGAACGGATCATATAAACCCGAAGGAAAATATAATACAAGCCCAAACGAAAAAATATAAACAAGTCTAAATTGAAAACAACATTCAAACCTATGATTGCGTTGGATAAAAACCGCAATTTTTATACGTGTGCATGCAAAACAAATTTCTTGGTAGAGGGGTCTAAATACAGCACAAACAACATTTTCATATATATATATATATATATATATTTGTTGCTTTGATCTGCTATGCTTACCTTTCTAAGGAAAACTATGTTTTAAGACCACCTTTATTTTGCGCCTTCAAGTTACAAAAATCTATATTATCTACCATCACAAATTGGAATTGGTTGACCGATACGATATGTACCTGTGTTCTTAGATCTTTTGATATCAGTTAAAAGTCGTCTGATCTGTAACCAATTTTCAAATCTCGTTCATTGATTATCAGGAGACAACTCAGGATAACACACAGAAACTGAGGTAATCACATGGACTTGGTGCGTCAACAGAGAAAGCGTCTACTGCTTTGCATGCATCATTCGCCGTGCGAATCCACTCTGAGTTAAAATATCACAATCGAGAATAAGATACAATCGCTAAATTATCAGATGTGACAACTATTGTGGTAAATAAAAGAAAAGCAAAAGATACCAAAGTCGAAAATAAACTTTGGTATAACGACGACAAAAAGGAAAGGACCAAATGACAAGCAACAGTACACAAAACACAACATGAAAAACAAACTAAAGAATGAGCAACACAACCCCTACCTAAAACTGGGGGTTATCTCGGGTGCTCGAGAAGGTTGACACCCGTCATGTTGCTTATGTAAGAACAAATCCGATATTGATAAGCCTTATCCGATAGGACACATTAGGGGAAAAGAAGAAAGTAATGGTTACGACAATAGGAACATATCCATCGTCATCAGTGAAACAGGTATTCCATAACGGTCAGCAAACTCTTGATGGCGTCCGTCCAACTATCGAAGGGATGATTTCAACTTCAGCTCTTGAAACTCTTTTTAAATTTAACAGCTTCCATTAGAGAAGCAAGCGTTGCCTTTTTCCTTGATTATACATTTTTTTTTAATAATGTTTTTATCATTTTCTGTGCTCTTGTAATTTGTATCCCTATGATACACTTTAAAAAATTTTTCACATAATTTACATCATTTGTCAGCTACATATCAGCGACTACCTGTTTAATTGTAAAAAAAAAGCAATCTGTCAAGAGATTTGGAAACTAAAAAAAAAAAAATTTTCTAATAAATATCTACATCATTACCAGTTGAAATGAAGTCAAATACCTGTACTGATGGGGAGTCTTAATGAACATCCATAGAATATTTTAATACAAAAATATAATTAAAAGTATGAGTCACCGGGCTTTTTTCACGCTTCGGGTTGTGCAAAATTGTCAGATTTTGTATAGATTATGCATGGAAAATCCATTTTTTTTTAACAAAAGGAAAACAACATCATAGAATTTTATGATAAAATATGAAAATATAGCTCTAATAATATGCTTTCAGATGGATAAGAAAATGAAATAATGGGATCACCGGACTCGTTTTCTTGCTACATAATAAAATAGGTAAATTCACAACACGGTCTATTATAAAAGTTACCTATCTGAGTTATCTCTCCTTAAATCTGAACTATCGAACCTAATATTGCGAATGATTCAAACAAAATTATTCTTTTTTTGTAAAATACTAGCCGTAAATATGATAAAACATATAATTTTCTATATTAACATGAAAAGTCTTACACATGAACTTCATACTACTCTCGAAATTTGCTCGTTTCAGTAAAGATCTAGACCGATTGTAATCTGCTTTTTCAAAATTCAAGATGGAGGAAGACACCCCAGCTACCTAAAACAAGTCATTGGTCAGATGTGTACTGACTCGACCTCCAATTGCAGACAATCTGTCAAAGATTTGGAAACTAGAAAAATCCGCCATAGATTATGGAACTAGAAAATTTGCCATAGATTAGTTTCTCAAAATTCTGCCATAGATTTGGGATGGCATGATGTCATACTTATTACAGATCTTAAATATGCCATAGATCTGAACTCGGCATTGATGTGAGTCCTACAAATGTATCATGTATATTTTGGGTCCTCAATGTACTCCAACTTTGCACTGTTTTGGCTTTATAACTATTTTGATCTGAGCGTCACTGATGAGTCTTATGTAGACGAAACGCGCGCTTGGCGTATTAAATTATAATCCTGGTACCTTTGATAACTATGTATACGAATACCAAGATGAAATAGTATCGTATCGAAGACAAGTGTATGGGCATAACAAATGACCTTCACCTTTATATGTGTTTTATTTGCTAATCAATTTTGTTACAAAAATCATTTGAATTATTATTGTGTGTTAATTGTAATTAATAAAATAAGTTTTCAAAATACACCGCTCCCTGATCATACACACATACACAAGTAGATAACTATTTCTGTGCAACAATAATGATAAAATAGATAAGATATACAAGATAATTTTTATTAACCAATCATGTGCCCAAAATTTGAGCTACACAATCAAATAAATTACAAAAAAAAGCACAGTAAATGATAAGAATGATTAGAATGATTAAAGTACATTTGAACTAAAACATGAATACACATTCAAACAAAGTAACATGATTATAAACGATGTTATTGAAAAAAACATAAAGCCACTGTGACCTGGAGAAATTCCATAATTTTATAGTCCTAGGTCTATGGGAGACAACTCCTGATCGATTTTATTATATATTTTTTCTTTCTATTCTTTCAAACTACATTGATATTTTCTAAGAGTTTCTTTCGTTCTTCAAAAAGGGAGTGCAATAATTAGATTAGTTTGAAGTAACAAACAAATCTTCAGATGAAAGATTCCAAACAAATATCATTTCATCAGATAACTGAAAATTTGTTTGAATTTAGAATTTAAATTAGACAGATGTTGAGATCTAGTATCTTTTAGAACAGGACATTTTAAAAGAAAATGAAGTTTGTCTTCAACTAAGTTCTAACATATCTTACACTTTCTGTCCTCAGCTTTAATACCAATATATCTCCCTCTTTCGATTTCAAGATCATGAAAGCTAGTTCTTAATCTTGTAATTATTTGCTTGTTTTTTTTTTTGAATTTATTGTTAAATATGTTTCAAACATAAAAATATTTTCAAGTTGTCTGTAAGTTCTTAATTTATTGCCAGACTGTATATTGTTCCCCTCTACATGCCATATTTGATATTTTTATATTAAATTTAAGTGAACATTTACAAAGCTTAGTATGAATTTTCTCTAAAACAAGATAATCAGTTTCTTTTGATATAAAGTTATCCAAATGTTTTTGTTTCTTATGTGGTATATAACACCAAATTTCAGATCCATACAACAAGACGGGTCGGATTATATGGTTATAAATGTGTAATAAAGTACTAGGTTTTAGGCTTTCCACTGAAAAGGTCTTCCTGAATTTGAAATAAGCTTTCATTCCTTTGTTTTAACGTTCTTTCTTTCCTATTTTGATGCTGCCAGATGCTGAAAAATTTATTCCTAAGTATGTGTAGTTCTGTATACATTCTAAAATCTGGTTTCCTAAAGATATTTTAATATTTTTATGTCGTCCTGATTTGTTAAATACAAGAACCTTGGTCTTTGTGGTGTTAAATGTCATTTTACAATCAACTGTAATTTCAAATAATTTATTAACACAATTTTGAAGTCCTTTCTTTGATGATGATTAAAGATATACATGTATTATACAAGTATTTGTGCTTGTGTGTGTGTGTGTTAGGTATATATTGTGTGATACTTATTTACTAATAGATTGTGCAAATGTTCCACAATGGGACATAACCGAGACCGTCGAATGCCTTTTCAACGATATATATTTCTCTCTTTACGATATGTTTTTGTACCTATTATATTTCATCAGTATCACTGCACGAATGACTAGCCATTGTAGCCGATATCTTTTCTTCACTTTCTAGAAATGTGATAAATCGCTTAATGTCTGTCGATTGTTGACTACAATACATGTACTCTGCAAGTGTTTGCATTTCGTCTCTTGTTAGTTTAGGTAGCATCTTTTTAATGATCGGTTTGCCAGGGTTATCCGTTTTGAATATTTCTTTGAGTTGTGTTAGGTCTAGAGAATCTTTGATCGTATCTTCTAATTCTCCTGATTTCCAAATAAAAATTCTTTTTTCTGATAATTTGTTCGATAATTTCAGGAAGCCATTTTCGTCTTGTAAAAAATCATCGATTGTTCTATCCTTAAATTTTGAGTAGTTGCCAAGAGCGCCATCTTTTGTGTATATTTTATCTATTTTGTTTTCCTTCAGCTTAATATATTTGTCACGATCAAAAACCCATTTTGCAGACAAACCTGTCTTTTCACAAAATTCACAGACTGGATAATCGAATGTTTTAGAACCAAGGACTACCATTTGATGGCTAAGGATACTTTGTTTTACACAGCGATCTAAATCTGTAGACTTGACAATATAGTCAAATAGACCTTCAAGAAGAATCTTGTCTGCTGTCCCTTCCATACAAAGTATTTTAGCTGCAAAAATGAGTTTCTTTAGATTATCAACATCCGTTATGTGCCGGTTTATATCACAGATTGCATGAATACCACAGGAAACTTTATCTGAGTTTTTTTCGGTTTTATTTCGGAAGAATACGTGTGTTTTCTCTGCCGTTATACTGTTTATCAGGAATGGGTTGTGAGATATTACAATTACTACTTTATCACTGCTTTCGCTTCGAAAGATATCCCGCATCCTTTCAACCATCTGCGGATGCATGCATCGATCAGGCTCGTCTAGGCAAATTGTGTTGAAATTCTTATGTGCCATAATTAGTGAGAACTGTTTAGCTTCGATGATACCCTCCGGTGTTTTCAGAAGATGAAATTTAGAAGAATTTTTCTCTTTTACGAATATATTGCCCCGATTTTGTGTTGACTCAAATTTATATTCAGATGGATGAGTCAGAAATTTGAATATGCTCTCCGCTTTATCATGATCAACCTCTTTAGATGTCATTAGTTCATTTATTATTTCTGCTCTTTTACATGCCTCAAGATAATTATCTTCCTTTCGAGTAATTTTGTGACTCCTCGTCCATTGCAGAGGACCAATGGCTCTCATAGCCATTGTAGCAACATAAGTTGATTCTATATCTTCAAGGAAATGCATCCGTGACAAATTCTGTTTGAATTTCCCAACAGTTATATCCCCTTCTGTCCAATTTCTTTGTATTTCCTCGTCTGTTATTGACGGCAGTTTCTCTCTGGATCCCAAAACGCATTGTATAAAGTTTTGTTCAAAATAAGTTTGTTCGTCTGTAGTTGAAGTAGATGAAAGGCTCATCAGAATCTTAATTAGCCTTTTAGATGTTTCAGCATTCGTTGTCACCTCATCTATTACTGTAAGATTGTCAATTTTACCTATACTATGAGTGATAATTTTAATAACTGACGATTGCGATTTATGCTTTTTGAGGCATAATATTTTGACAATTTCTTTATCTTTTTTCTTTACCACTCCCGAATAGATGCTAGATATCTTTTTTAATTTGCTTATTTTTGTATCAGATGGTACATCAAATTTACAAAAAGCATAAGCATTTTCCTTTTCGTCATATGATGATGATATCGATTTGTTGATATCAGTTGACATGCATCTTCTGAGTATTTCAAATGTACTTGTCTTTCCTGAAGAATTAGCACCAATGAAAAAGTATGAACCATTCTCGAAGGTCAAACATTGAAAATCTTTGAAATGGATAAAATTCTTGAATACCATTTGCCGTAACATCTATATAATACATGAATAATTTACATTAACAGTATTTTCCTGTCATTCGTCGGCTTTGCTACAAATTGCATCTCATCTAAAAATACTTTTCTACAAGAATACTAATGCATCGATAGGTTTTCTTGAAATTTCCAAATGCTGAAGTTTTAGTGAAACTGTTTGTTTCAATTAATGTATAGCTTTTGTTGTTTCGTGCCGTTTGAAAATCTGTTCTATTTCTCAAATATTTTTGCAGTGTCTATGCATTTGTGAATTTTTTATTATGGAAGATAGGAGGTTTTGTAAGAAATCAATTGGAAAAGATATTTCGTATATTGTCATATCATTAGAAGTTACGTTGCATGTGGTGCGCGGTCATTGAGCGATTAATGTGGAAGTATGGTACTTGTGCATATATAATTGCTAGAGTTTATGTTCTTTCCGCACTTTTTCTGTAAAGATTAGATCAATTGTTAAGATATTTCATTTATAGTCATATCATAAGAAGTTATAGATCCGATTGAGTTTTGTTCTGCTTGGGTGATTTCTGTTGAAATCGTCACCCTTTGACTTCGTTTGCTTCAATTTAGATCTTTTCGGCATTTTGTCCTGAAAAGTCCCGATAAATTGACTTTATGTATGATATAAAATCATATCATAAGAATTTACAGATCAAGTTTCAGATTTTCTCCGCCTTTTGGTCGAGCTTGCGAAATTTATTTCGCGAAAGCGAGACATAGCGATCCTAGATTCCGTCGTCGGAGTCGGCGGCGTTAACATTTAGGTTCATTCTGTGATTAAAGTTTTTTTGGACATCAATAACTTTGTCAAACATACATGGAATTTTATGAAATTGGGAAGCTTGCTTATGACCAAAATACAGTATCCAGGGCAAAATTTTGAAAATATTTATTTTCTTTTTTCTATATTTTACTAATAAATGGACTTTTTTTACAGTTGACTTCAGATTTTGTCTGAGGTTAAAGTTTTCAGTCATCAATTTCTTTGTCAAACCTTCATGGAATTTTATAAAAATTTAGACAGAAGCTTGTTTATGACAAAAAGACAGTATCCAGAGCAAAATTTTGCAAATATTTATTTTCATTTTTCCGTATTTTACTGATAAATGGCCTTAGTTTTTTTTTACAGTTAACACTCAGGCTCAGTCTGAAGTTAAAGTTTTCAGTTATCATTAACTTTATAAAAACTTCATGGAATTTTACGAAATTTGGACAGAAGCTTGTTTATGACCAAAATATAGTATCCAGAGCAAAATTTTGGAAATATTTATTTTCATTTTTCCCGTATTTCACTGATAAATGGACTTAGTTTTTTTTACAGTTAACAAGTTTAAAAGTGTGTTACCCATCAATTAATTTGTCAAACCTTCATAGAGTTTTATGAAACTTTGACAGTAGCTTTTTAATGATTAAGAGATAATGTCTGAAGTATATCTTTGAAAATATATTATTCTCATTATTAGTATTTTTCTAATAGATGGACGTCATTATTACAGTTAACATTTAAAGATGGTCTGGGATAAAAAAAAATGTACATGATAAATTTGTAAACCTTCATGGATTGTTTTTAAATTCTGTATTTTACTGATAAATGGACTCACTTTTTAAGTCAATATTACACTTTAACACTGACAGCAGCAATCGCAGGCAAGACACAGGGTTCCGCGGAACCCCTTATGAATTTTTAGACGTATACCTCGAATTTGACATAAGCGGTCATCTCAGTACCAGTATCTGGGACAAGTGAGACGATTTTAATTTTGAAATTATCAATTATTCCCACCTTAGCAGCAACATAACAACTTCACCTGCATATGGGATATACATTTCCCAAATCATTCGGTTTACAAGAGCTTGCAGCTGCTACTCAGACTTTATAAAACGTCACCAATGTCTGAACAGAAAGTTCATAAACCAGGGTTATGTTAAATAACGTCCTTTTTCTAGAATAGTTCATCGGCAGATACCTAAACCTTGTTGATAAATATTCCGAATCAACATTAAAATGATACATGATGGTCTTGATTTTGTTATCAGTAAATTAAAATCAAACAAAATATTATTTTTATACACATATACACATTTATGGCTCTACAATCTGTCGATACATGTATCTTGGCTTTGCACAAGGTCATATTTTTCTCTGACTGTTAATGACGTCTTCACACTAAATCCATTGGATATTGGATGTGTACATATTGATATTTTAGTCTTAGATGCATGCTTTTTTTTTATTAGTTGTTATTTGCCTTGAACTAGCTGTCAGTAACTGCGAGTACTCTCAGATCTGTATTTACTGTCTTTTTGTTGTGGGGACGTATAAGTACCATGCCACGTCCACTCTGTGTTTTTGTTAAATGTATTTCTGCTTTGTATCCATCTGAAGAGTAAAGTTCTTTTCAACTGATGTTTATAGTTTCTTCGTATGTTGTACTGTTACATCACTGTCCCAGGTTAGGAGAGTGTTGGCGCTTTCAAACAAGTTTAACCCCGCCACATTCTGTATGTGCCTGTCCCAAGTCAGGAGCCTGTAATTCAGTGGTTGTCGTTCGTTGCTGTATATCATATTTGTTTTTCGTTCATTATTTTGTATATAAATCAGGCCGTTAGTTTTCTCGTTTGAATTATTTTACATTTGTCATTTCGGGGCCTTTTATAGCTGACTATGCGGTATGGATTTAATTCATTGTTGAAGGCCGTATGGTGACCAATAGTTGTTAATTTATGTGTCATTTGGTCTCTTGTGGAGAGTCGTCTCATTGGCAATCATACCATATCTTCTTAATTTTATATGGAAGTATAGATTCTATGTACTGACGTTGTTTATCATCTCAATTACGTGTTATAGTGTTCTTTTATTTGTCTTTGTATTATTATTAGCCTTTACTGTTTAGTCCATTTTTGGTAATATCCTTTTGGCGTGGCTCAGTATTTATACATCCCGCCATTGTATTATTGTGCCATTGTTATTTTTTGTATTCTTCTCTTTCATTTTTGTTTATGTGCTTGGTCTATATGCCATTTTGTTTTTCTTTGTTGACATAGTTGTTTGTTTTTATAGTGATTAAGATTATAACACAATACTGACTGCTCTACCCCAATTTTGACATTTTTACCTATTATGTCTGTTTGTTTTGTTCACACATTGTTGTCAATATAATGGAACTTTATGCGACTGTCATACAAGTGAGAGGTTTAGCTAGCTATAAAACCAGGTTTAATCCACCATTTTCTACATAAGGAAAATCCTGTACCAAGTCAGGAATATGACCGTTGTTTTCCATTCGTTTGATGTGTTTGAGCTTTTGATTTTGCCATTTGATAAGCTTTAGGGACTTTCCGTTTTGAATTTTCCTTGGAGTTCGGTATTTATGTTATTCTACTTTTTAGTAATTTATCGAATGCTTTTAATCTAAATCGTTACTCCATCCGATGTTTATTCTGGTAGGGAACATGATATTGTATATGCAATACCTTCGGAATCTTAATTTTTCTTTAATCAAAATGTCATAAATGCATTTTACCTTGAAATGGTTCTTGCCTGCATTTAAAGTAAACGCACTTAAACCAGTTTATGAACACTCAGAGTTCTACCAATAGATATTAATATCAGAATAAATTAACCCTGGTATCGGGAAAACTCAATTTATTCACTCACTTTTGAGACTTACTCTAAGAATTGAAATTTATAAAGATAAAATGAGAAAACTATAAACATAAATGTAATAAGAAAACTATAAACATAAGCAAAAATTGCATACCTTGCAAGCGAACTTGATCTCATTACTACAAACATATAAACTCACCATAGAGACAAGATATACAATGAGTATTAACAATTCAAAAAATAGTGTACAGTTATAGGTTGCATTGTATTCATAATTTAAATCGCTATGACAGAGACACAATGTGCAGCCCGTATAATTATGTGCATTATTGATCTTAATATAAATTAAGTGCATTTAAAGTAAATATGAAACCTGTCACACAATATCTTATTTTGATTTTGTTAAAATCTATAGTTTTGGTAAACGCAGCATATTGAATATGTTTGATTTTTAATAGCTAAATTAGACGTTATTGTCTTATCTTTTTTGTTGTTCTAGCGCTTATTCTAGTCTGCTGATTTGAATTGAACCATTGATCGAAAAATCGTTTAAACAATAAAAAAAAATATTAAAGAATAAAGAATTAACAATATGTAGAAATAAGAAGATGTGGTATGAGTGCCAATCAGACAACTCTCCATCCAAGTCACAATGTGTAAACATTAAACAATTATAGGTCAAAGTACGGCCTTCAACACAGAGCCCTGGCTCACACCGAACAGCAAGCTATAAAGGGCCCCGAAATGACTAGTGTAAAACCATTAAGACAGGAAAACCAACGGGCTAATCTATATAAAAAAACGAGAAACACTTAAGAACCACATCAACCAACGACAAAAAAATGAAACAGGTTCCTGACTTAGGATAGGTGAAAACAAATGCGGCTGGTTTAAACGTCTTAACAGGCGCCAACCTTCACCCTAACCTGAAATAGTAGTGTAACATTACAACATAGAAAGACACACTATAAAATATCAATTGAAACGGCTTAACTCATTCAAAAAGACATATTGACAAAAACAAGTAAACATACACTGAACGAATAAATTTGATCTATGACACAATGTCAAAAAGACAACTATAACCTTGAACAAAATGACATTAAATAAAGTAACGTACACAGGTAAATTTAAATATAATGATTTTGTTGTTAGGAGTATGGAGTTAATTTTTACAAAATAAAATAAATTTGTTGTTCATAGTACGAGAAAAGCAGTGAAAATTTATCGTCATACTAAAAACCTACCAAAGGTGGTACATATTAAAAATAGTGAGACGAGATATAACACAAAATAAGTAAACATTGAATAACAAAAATGCATTACAATTTGTGTAACAGGTCAAACTAACACGAAATTACGAATTGAGAGTACTTGCTGTACTGAAAGCTAGTTAAAATCCAAAAATAATTATTAATAAAAAAAAAATGCATCAGAGACTAAAATCAACCAAAACACATCCCAGGGATTTAGTGTTTTAACGCCATGGACAGTCAAAGAAGACATGACTTATGCAATGCCAAAATAAAAGTATCGACAGGCAGTAGGATAGTTTGGATTTAACCTTATAATAAATATGTTTAATGTTATATATAGATAAAACAATCTCTATATAGAAAATGGACGTGGATGTGTATTTATACATAAAAAAAACATTCGAAAAGAATACAAGTTTAGTTATGTTTTCATTTGTTGATGACAAAATCGATATTTGTGCCAATGTAAACAATATTCAAAGATCTTATTGCAACATTAATAAGATAACATTTACTAATAAGTTTGTTTAAATGTTCGATGAGTTTACACGGATGACATAGTGATTTCCGCGCTTTTAATACAATATTACCGTAAAATTTAAGAAGTGAGATACCGTTTTTAATAAGTTTTCTACAGGTACAGCCAAATTTACTAATCAAACCATTGTATCTTAGAAAGAATTTAGTAAAAGTTTTAAGTAATTTATTGTTACGAAATCCCTGACTTAATAATTTAACAATGATGCATTGATTACGTTCGTTAAAATCCATGACATCACCACACACACGGGCATAACAAACGATCTGGGATATATAAACACCGTATGATGGTAAATGCATCCATTTTATTTGTTAAATTACGTAACATATTCTCATCTGAACTAGGGATAGATAGAAACAGATGATTTAATTAAGATATGTCCAAAGTTTTAAAAATGTCAATCTTTCCTATGGGGGCTATATACCGTTTTGATCATTTTTTCAGAGTGTTGTCTATATTATTTAACACTGGTCTATGATTTGAATAAATCGTTCTATTTACATCAACTGAAAAAGAAATCCCAAGGAGCTTAAATGTAGTGGAACCCAATTTCAATCCCCACATTTGATCTTGGCTATGTTGTTTGCTATATTGAGAAAGTACAAATTCTGTATCATCTATAATAATCTACTCTTTATCTCCCAACTATTTCTACCAAAATGCCTAACATTTCTGCACATAGCAAGAAAATATCAGGGGATAAAGGATCCCCTGTCTACAGTGAAGAATTCTGACAGAAAACAAGAAAACAGTTTTGTGTCACTACAGCTGTTATATTATTATAGAATGTTTTAACCCAGGATATAACTGAATCACCAAAGTTAAAATATCTTAATGTTTCATAAAGAAAGGACCAATATATGGAATCAAATGCCTTATCAAAATCAATCAACAAGGGTGGTTGTCCAATTGGCCTACAATCCACATCGTATGCATGCATATCATACATTTGGAGACGTCAAGTAAACTGCATAATAGTTTCACACTTGTTTTGGTAACACAGGTTTTATTACAAATTCAAAACAGAAAAAAATATGATATTATACTGCTGTTCAATATCAAAGTCAACAAAGCGATAAACATCTCCCTTAAAATAAAAAGTAAAACATTGAATCAGGGAAAGTAATACTGTGGTACATGTTTAAGTAACTGCGAGTACTCTAAGAGTAGGACTTTGTGTCTTTTGTCTTGTTCTAATTGAATAAATATAAGAATAAGGATTTGTGGCATGATGCCAATGAGACGACTATCCATCAGAGATGTAAACAACAACGAACAAATCATTCCCAACTGATTTTTACAGTTTGATCTTATGTTGTGGTGTAACACCACTGTTCTAGATGAGGAGAGGGTTGCATGCTCACAAGCATGTTTAATCACGTTATAATTGTTATGTGCCTCTTCCGTTTATAAATTTATAAATTATAAAGAAACAATGGTTTCAACTCCCTCAGCCATTGTTGACCTTAGATAGATTGGCTATCATTCTTAGGTTCTTTTTGGTAATATAATTCAATTGTTTCGGTTCTTATACGTCCTTGGATTTCAAATATTTGGCTGTAATAGTTCCTGATGAAGGCTAATACAGAAAAGCGCTTCTGATATACAAAATTTACAGTGTTGATTTCTTGTTTTTTTCCCCAAGCCAAGAATCTGTCATACAGTAGTGGTCATTTGTTGATGTCTACCGTATTTGTGTTTGTTAACTGTTGTAGCATAAATCAGACCGTTTATTTTCTCTTTTGAATTGTTTCCTTTTTTGTGCATACTGGGACTCTTTAAATCCTAATAATTGGTATGAGTTTTGTTCTTTACATACGATGCCCTTTAATATTTCACATCTCATGTACTTTGGTCAGTGGATAGTTGTTTCATTGCCAACAATAATCCATTTTCTATATTTTTTTTATTATCAACAAATAAAAATGCTGTACAGTGGCGAATCGTCAAGTATGAACGAAACATAGTTAAAGTGCATACCTTGCTCTTTTTGCATGTACACATAAATTTCGGCATCGTGTCTTAATACGTTTTTATTACAAGTATAACGAAATTCATTGTCATTATCGGGGTGACATTTTAATAGAACGGTTCATCCGTGTGAAATTTTCAAACAAATCTATTGCTACCAAGAATTATTTTGATTATTGGTCCAGCAGAAAAAGCCTTAAATAATATTGTTTTATATGTAAAAAAATTTTTTGAAATGTCTTACTAAATAACTTGGAATACACAGCAACACAGGGAATACCGCATATTCTCCTATATAATTCATGAAAGATATTTTTGAAAATCACAAATCCTTCTCTCACTTGATATTTATATACAAAAGGAAGATGAAAACCTTTCATTTTTATACTGGATACCTATAATTCTAAAGTCTAAAAGTCCTAATATAAAGAACGAGCTACAGCCGGGTCGTCAAGATGTTCGACTAAACATCTTTCTAAAGTTCATACCACCATTGTTTCTACAGCAAAAGATGCCTTCAGAAATGTGATGAGGTAAAATGTATATTCAACCACCAATCAGATGTGTATTATTAAAAATTCTAAAGATCTGCTTCAAAATCTGCAATCACAATCTTTACAATTTTGCTATTTCCTATGCGTAATTGAAAGATCGTCTACATCGTCTCATTATACAGAGCTTTTTCTTCAATGGAAAACGTAGATACAAATTCCTTGTTTTAGGTCATGAAATATCCTACTATTTGACGAACTACACTGATTCTAAATACAAGTACACCGAAGATGATATCATCAAAATGTTGGACTTTTTAATCGACAACATATTTGTTAAGATTAATGGATTGATATTTCTGCAGACAGTCGGTATTTTTTTCAATCAATGACCCATATTTCCATGAGTGCTCATATATACAAGTAATCTTAAGATTAAGGATACTACCGAAATTAAAATGTCTGCTTCATATCTTAATATTTTCCCCTATATTGACAGAGATGGACGACTTCAAACTTTAACCAATGCATACGACAAACGTGATGATTTCAACTTTCCAATTGTCAACTTTTCTTTTCGTAGCAGTAACATACTCTATACTCAATCGTATGGCGTTTACATTGTTCAGTTAATACGTTATGCGGACTTCGTTAACTGGGGTGTACTTCTTACACAAAAAACAGGAGAAAGAACGAATAAAATCGGCACTACATAAGTTTAACTGTCACCATCACGAACAAATCCTTGTCCTTTACGTCACCTTTACATCAGGCGTAACTGAAAGTAGATAATTGAAGTATATATTTGAACAACTGACAAAAGAAATATCGATAATAGTGCGCATTTATCTATTCATAATAGTCCAATCTAAAGTAGTTTTAACTCGATGCCATGAATGTTCAAAACATTTAGAATTCAATCATTTCCAGTTGGAAATGTGAC